TCATTTTTCAAATGTCTATAAACATGTTTATTTTTCTATTTTAAAAACACAAAAATGTTGACTTCTTTTTTAAAAAGAACAAAAGTAAGAAATATTGATTGACAGTTGGATATACTACCAGTAGCCCTCAAAATTAGTAAAAAGTACATTGGAAAAAAAAACAAAAAATCAAAAATCAATGCTAATTGTTGCTTTAAAGTTGACATGTGTTATCATGTCAACTTTTTTAAAGTGTTGATTTTAGAGAAGTCTGGAAATAAAAACACTCCAGGCCCTGAAAATGCACACCTACTGCCTGGCGAGAGTTTTTTTCAAATCTAGATCCCACGCTGTCACTAATTTTGAGGATTGCACCAGTATTTGCTTAATCATTCAATATTACTACGGTTGTCTTTCTAAGAAAGACCGTAAACATAAGAGTATAAAATATTACCATACTGATTCAATATCTCCTACACAGGTCATGCGACTTAATGAATAATCCAAAAAGATTTTAAAAAACCCTCCAATGTTTAATTGTTCCATTTAAACAAGTGAACCATTACTTGGGTCAGCGTCAGTGCCTCGGTGGTGCGCGGTAGCGGAGCCTGAGGCACAGGCCAAAGATGAAACTACTGGAGCCGAGCACCATGAAGTATCCATGCATACATGGCTACATAGGGAGAGCGACGCTCACCCAAGTACAGCTCATGCAATATAATTGTTTTCTGGTTCTTCAACAGCGGTGTCATAAATTTCCTTTTTTTGGGTCATATTTTGACTTATAGTAGATATTCCATATTTAATTGCTACCTTCTATAAGGGTACCATAATTTCTAATCATCTTTACCTAGCCAATTGTTTCTATTATATCGAGTACTGTATACTGTAGCCATTTATATTTTGAACTTTTTCATAAATTCTATAGAAAAGTCATTGATCTGTGTAGGAGACACAATCTGTGTAACTGTATGTAAAAATGAAAGTGGTTCATTTAGAAATTTATCCCAGTAATAACATTACACAAATGACAATAAAACGTATAAAGAAAGAAGAGGTTTAGCGGAATATATAGCAAATGATTTTTCAGTATTTTTCTTGGTCAATGGTTACTTAAGTACACTTAATTGTCAGCACACAGAAGCGGTTGGCACATCGGTTGTGGCTTGGACTCTCAACTTTCAGGTCGGGGTTCGAAACTCTCGCTGTGCAAAGCGCTTGTGTCCTTGGGCAAGGCACTTTATCAACAGTTGTCTCTTGCCACCCAGGAGTACAAGTAGGTACCGGTAGGTTTGAACACAACTGCACTGATTATTGCAATATTATAGAGTTCTCCCCAGGGAGCTGAGTATGTGTTCCATACGTGTTTGATCTAATGACTGGGGTAGTAATGTGAAGCACTTAGAGGATTTATGCATGAATCGCTATATAACATATTATTATTATACTAACACTTACTAACAAAATATACTCAAATGACCCTGACTTTAAAAATTTTGATGACTAACTGTAAATGCTTTTACTAGATTTAAAGCTCTTCACCTCAGTCAATCCATTTAACAATCTTAACTTATCCCAAGTACATATCCTGGTTGTTCCCTTAGTTTTTCTGATCTTTATTTAGTTTAGTTCCTTAAACTAAAAAAAAAAAATAAAGAATAGATCAAAATACAGTAAAGAAATTAACAGTTTACAAGTAAACAATTCAACTTTAATGTCAAAAATAAAATGTTTCTATACATGAGGTAACAATGAATGTTGAGTTTATATTCTGAAATTGCAATTAAATTAGCTTGTACATTGTGGGGTATCTTAAACTGTTTTAGTTTTTCTTTCTTCGTGCCTTTGTTTGAGTCTGCCTGATTTATTAACAATGATATTCGAGTAACCACATTAAAAAAATATGAACACATCTTAGTGTGTTCATAGACAAACATCTCTAACAATAAAGAACAATACTCAATGTATTTGTACCCACTTCTGCTCTACAACAGTGAACTGTGGATTCTAACAAAAAAACTTAAAAATAGCACAAACATGTTCCAACGGAAACTACTAAGAAGAATAATAAACATCAAGCTAAAAGACAGAATAACAAATGAACACATATACATGAAGACTAAAGAGAATGAATTAAGCAAAACAATAAAAAGGAGGAGACTCAACTGGCTACTCAAGACTACCAGAAAATGTACCAGCAAAAATCACATTAAATGAACACCTAAGAAAAGCACAAGGAAACAAAGGTCGACCAAAACACACATGGCTGAAACAAATAAATACTGATCTGAAACCCATAGATAAAACTTTAAATACACTCATGCATGATGATTATAATAGGGCAAACTGGCGACGCACTGTTGTAAGGCTCATGGCTTGAATAAGCCGTATCAGCCCAGAGAGAGAGAGAGAGAGAGATATTTGAAAATGGGTGACATTTTTTCAAACGCTGTACTGTATATACTTGCTTATACGGTGATCCACATATAAGATGACCCACCCCACAACCCAGTTTAAGAAATTTTAAAGATTTTTGTTTATTGGGTTTAGACAACACCCATATATTATCATCGGTATTCCTGCTTTTTGCTGCTTTTTATGGTTTCGATACTGGATATCATAAATTTTATGAAGATCCCAGCAAAGAACTCTGTAAATGAACAGGAAAAAATGGACTAAAAGGGAAAAATATTACGATAAGAGCATAAACAAGGCCTTTCCATAATAGCAAGGAAAACCACTAATATGTTCGCTACCAGGGACGAGAGTCTACATAAAACAGGGTTCACTTAAGGTGCCAAAGGACACAAGTGTAGACATACCACTGTATTGTACTGCATGTAAACTTGTTAGCAGTGGTTGGAGGAACGTGAACACCCTCCCTGGAGGTTTAGGGGTTACATTACACTTGATGATAATGATTTTCATTATAGTGCCGCTCTTTATGCCTTGGCGTATGGAATGAAAAAAGCTTGGCAGTGAATCTGTTAACATCAGCAATAATTTATTAAACAGCTCAATATACAGTACTTGTATGACGTTTCAAAAGGCCTCCTTTTTAAAACTTATAAATTTGATAGTTTAACAATGGATTTTAGCCTCATTACCATTTTACAATTATGATGTAATTGTTGGTTGGTTGGATATCAACCCTTGAATTATTAAAGGTCTAGGCCTATAGTGAAAAATATGGTGGCCAACTAATTTCCAACTGTCCCTGTGCACTAGCAAATACAACAATTTGGCCTAACAAAATCACAATAATAATAATAATAATAACCACAATTAATTAATTATTTTTTTTACTGTAGGCATTTTCAGTACCTTAGTACTGATTTTCAAAATGGTAAAGTGACTAAAAACACGTACAGTTTTATAAGCTATTAATCAACAATAAGAAAAATGTATACTCAACAAGCAACCTGAAAGCATATATAGGCCTACTGTACATACAGTACACCACATGAACCATGGCATGCATGTTGTAATTACTGTTGGGACTCGAACATCCCACCATGCACATAAATCAGATGACGCATGCAACCTAAAGTTTACCCATAACGTATACCAATGGAACACCACATCAAATAAAGTCCACAAATACTGCACTAGCCTAGCACTGCACTTCAGTTGAACTTAACATTTTAAATTCTTTTGCTCACTTTGAAATTAATTCATGTCACCTCTATAACTTCTGTCATGTTCTCAAACATACTTTAAAGGTCAACCGAGTTATAAATGTCATATATTCCTGAAAACAGAAAGATTGCAGAAGGTCCTTGACATTGGAATGCACAGTTGATAAGACATAGTTATGCCATAATAGTGTTCCTTAGAAGACACTGGGACTGGTTAGGGCCACTGCAATCGCCAATGAGTTGTACCTTCTCTCTACAACATAAATCACAAATTTCAAATTTACCAGAATATATAATGTTAGCCCGCCCTCAAACATAATGCATGTCATGTGATCAGTGGTTACACAATATATGTGAAATGGCTGATAAGGATTTAAGGTAAGTATAGACCCTCTTCATGTATATTTTATGGCGAAAATCTAAAACAAAAACAGATCGGACATAAAGCACTTATACTTAAGCCTATTTTTTAAAATGTTAACTTAGATAAAAATGGCCATTAATCAAACAATGTAGCAAGATAATGGAGCCTCTCTTACTGGTTTGGCCAAAGTCTACGCCTGGCATTTTACGTGTTATTACCGGTAACACTACAACAAGGAAATGAATAGATGCCTGAGTTACTAGGCCTAGCATTCAACCAAAACTGTCAAAACAGGGTACGATTTTGAACAGAAAACTTTAAATAAAAAAATGATCACTAGTGTCTTAACCAATCAGCATGGGACTTTATTTTATAATTTATGAGTTATACTTGAAAGATTATCCCAAAATAGCAACCAGTGGTTATGTGTAACAGAAGTAGTTTGTATGCCAAAAATGCTCAAAATTTAGTTGTCAGCTTTAGAAAATTATCACTCAATTTTGCATTGATTGTAAAAATATACAGATGATTATAAAGATTAAAAGACCTAGTTTTATAATCCAATGCCCAAAAATTTATAGTCGATTTTGTGAGAAAAACCATTCATTGAGCATATGATGGTAAGTCTTCAATATGCGACATTGGATTCAGCCTGACCTGGAGACAGTCTTAGGCTGTTGTGAGACCAAAAAAAAAAATAAAATAAAAAAAAAATTAAAAAAAATTAAGGGCTTCATTAGTGCATTCAGAAATTCTTTTGGGCCCTGCAAGAAATTCAGGAAATCCTTTTTTTTTCTTCTCACTAATACTTCTTAGTGCAGAATTTTTTTTTCTAGTGTATGGTGAATGACTATTAATTGCTTAATAGTACTCTTGTATGAAATGAATGAGTGAATGAAAAGTGAAAGATGGTACAACTACTGTAACTGCCATGTCTTCTGCCTGTTAATTTATCTTTTTAAAGTTTAACATTATCATTATTTTTAACAGATTACCTGACTCAGATTTTATCAGTCTGATGACTGATGAAAATAAGGAGTTAACACCACCTCAAGGTTCACATGAAAATATGTAAGTTAAAAAAAAACTAAAATATATTGAAAACTATAATTTTTGCTCCATGTGTTTGCAAAGGATAAGCAGCACATTTAAAAGAAATGCACTATACTAATACCATAGTACATAATTAAGAAGATATAATTAATAAAATGAAAAGTAAGTATTTATATCAGCCATGACATTTCATAAATATGTGATCCATACACTGGGGCTTCGCAGTCAAAACTATCCTACCACTGCCTTGAAAATTTGGATAAAAACCAAAGGCCATAATCAATATAACATTTTTATTGTCATTAAAGACTTGGTGAAGATGGAATTCAACCGCTTATGTCATTACCAAGTAGTGAACCTCAAGACTTGCAAGAAACACAAACAAATGTGTAAGTCGAAAAAAAACTGATTATTTTTTCTTTCTTGCATAAGACTGTCAAATGAAACCACTCAAATTAGAAGTCGATTTTGTGAGAAAAAAAGGGTTCTGTTTTCACTCATCTTTGTTAAGATGTGTTGCGAACCGTTCAGTCAGCAGATAACGGTAAGTTTTCAGTATGCGTCATTTGATTCAGCCCAACACAGGGAAAGACTCAGGTTGTCACAAGAAAATTAAAATCATTTTATTTTCCAAGACAACTGAAAAAAAAGGAGATTAGTTCATTCAGAAATTCTTTTGGGCATTGCAAGACTTCCAGGAACTTTTTTTTTCTCACTAATCCTTCTTTGGGCTGGAAAAAGTGTATGAAAAATGACAATACTATTGCTTAATAATTATCTTGTTTTTGTATTTCTTACAAACCATGCTGTAAAACACTGTTAGTGGTTCAAATGAAAGATGGTAGAATTACTGTAATTGCCATATGTCTTCCTGTACTTGAAATTTATGTTTAAGTTTAACATTACTGTATCATTATTATTATTTTCAATAGACTACCTGATTCAGGTTTTGTTAGTGTGACGACCGATGGAAACCATTCCAGAGCGCCTCAAGATTCTCAAGAAAATAAGTAAGAAATAAAAAGTAAAATAGAGTATATTGAAAAATACAATTATTCGCTACACACTTTTGCATATCAAGCAACACATTTAAAAGAATGCTCCACACTATTAATCCAGTATAGAACATAAGCAATATGATTGAAAAAATAATCGTAAATATTTATATCAACTACACTTAAGGTAGAGCCTGCATACCTTGCCATAAATATGTCTTCTGTACATTGTGGCTTCGCAGCCAAAACAATTCTACCCTCCCAAGGAATCTTCGATAAAAACAATAGGCCATAACATAATCAATATAAAATATTTTTAGTCATTAAAAAAAATTCCCTACACACTATCAGTCAATGACTCTTGCATTCATGAATTTTTTTTTTTTTGGTTAAATTACTTCTTTCCTGTTTTTTTTTCCTGTGTAAATAACGGTCTTGTAGTATATGCCATAAATGTAACACACAGCCACTACTCCTGTCTCGTCATTATGTAATATTTTATTACCATTACTAAAACAAACGCTATTATTACAATTTAAGGTTTGTGGATGTAAATCTCGATGAGGATGAACTTCGAAATGACATTGCATCTGGCATGAAGACTGAAAGTACTGATTCTATTGTAATTACTATTTTAACTTATTTCTTCTCTCTTTAATGTACGATATACATACAGTATTTTGTGCTCATTTTGATTTTAGTTTTAACTAATTTAAATTTCATCCCCATGATAGGTAGATGAGATGGGTACAACTGTGGATGAGGCAAGGCCATGGAATATTTCGAGTTCTGTCACTGAATGGTTTGTAACTCCATTAAGGATGAGAGTAAATGATATTCTTTGGATGTATCTGATCTGTTGTGGATTTCTACTATCTACCGGCACAATACCAATGAGCTATTTGCAAAGGAATAACCTTCAGCTATTCCCCATCATCCCACCAGTAGAGGGCTTCCATGGTCAGCACGAAAACTCCCTACCAACAGAAAATAGGTAAGTTATAAAACAAATATCTATAGCCTAATTAATAATTCAAAAAACGAAAATTAAGAAATTGTTAATGAGCCCTACCATCAAATCAAAATAAATATGATACGCCCAAATGAAATATGATATCATCTCTATTATTATTATTTTCATTATTATTTATATTTTTGTTTCAAGGTTTAGGGAGAGTCTGGAAGACGATGATGAGTTTGAAAACTACATTTCATCTGGCATGAAGGCTGAAGCTGAAAGAACAGCAAAATCACTCCGTGCATCTATGGTAATTACTGATTTTAAATTGGCTTTTTTCCACTTTTTTTTGCAGGGGTGGCACCAGGATTTGCCTTATAAAAAGTCGAACATTGCTCAAAATCATTGAACAAATAACCAGAAAACTATGACAATTCATGAGTTTCAAAGGTTAATTTCATAGATATTAGTGTCTACTAATATGCTAAAAAAAGAAAAAAAAAAATTTTTTTTCTTGATAAATTATATTTTTCACTGGCATCACCACAATTTTTCTCCTCAGTGGATGATATACATAGTATTCTAATAATAAAAATAATACATAATATTGTAGTTTTATATATATGCGCCATATCCATCTACATAAGATGCTCATGGCGCTTGATGTGTGGACTTGGAGTCTCTTCACCTCAACTCTTGTCTTCCACCACAGGGGCTCTCTGTTCTAGTGCACCGGAGTATCCCCCTACTCGTCTCGAAGGATGTACTGGGTTCTTTATAGTGCACATGAGCATTTGTATACACTGGGCCTATGGTTTATAGTCCTTATCCAAGAAGACTTGTTCTACCACCAGAACTATAGACGAGCATGCCGTTCGAACCAGCACCGATATTATGACTATACCTTGCGGCACCAATGCTAACCACTCGGCCATTTGACTCACCCTATTCTGTGCTTATTTTAGATAATCTTGGTTAACTGATTGTTTAAATTTCATGTTCCCCCATAACAGGCACACGAAATGGGCACACCTGTAAATGAAGCAACACCATCAAGTATTTCAAGTTCTATCTTAGAAATGCTTAAAATTCCATTAGGAATAAGGCTGACAGTAAATGAAAAGAGGTCTTTGAGATATTTTTTTCAATCTGTCGCCGGCTTTGATGATAAGATGGCCCAACGACTCCTGCTGCATTGTACATCATCTAACCAGCTGCATCAACCAATAAGAATCGATTATGTTGCAGTGAGACGTGGCTTGGCTAAAGCATTTACTGCTGACACTAACCGTAACGTTTTATACATACCGACAACTTACCAATCTTATCAGGATTTTGAAGTAGAGTTCAAGAAAATTGTTAGAAAGAACACCTGGTGGTTCTGAAAAGGAATAAAAGCACTGTTATCATCAGATTAGGTTAAGGTTAACTAACAAAAGTACACAATATTGACAGTGGTACAAGGCAGATGTAATACTAATTACATTAAAAAATATCACTGTCAATATTGTTTTACAATTTCTTTAACAAATAAATTGTAAGTCTACAGAAATTTACATCATAATTCTACTTATCTAAGTTATATTGCATTATTATCATCATTTTGCTTATTGTAATTTTTTTTATAAAAATTCAATTAATTGTATTGTTTCTTTAAATTTAATTTATATTACTTATCATATCAGCAGAGGAAGTTTCAAACACTAACAGGTATATTTTCAACTCAGATACCGAGAACGCTTTAGAGTGACTGAGTCAATCATTAAAACCACTAATACAGCAGAACCTTCCTTTGGGACATCCCTATTCAAGGGGCATCCCTATTATGGGGATACTTTTCTGTGAAACAAGGGACTATATATATATCTGTTGACACTACAGCCAACCCCTATTAGAGGCACTTCTATTGGGTGGCATAATTTTCGAGTGTGTCAAATGGTAAAATCATTTTAACACCTAAAGGGTTACTTATTTTTGTTATTTTATCATAACAACTACAGTAGTCTCAAAATTCTTTTGAATTTATATTTTGTCCTTTTGCGTCATAAACTTTATCATCAAACCAGAATTTTTCCTCTCAATATCTAAAATGGACATCAGTATGTAGGCCTATTGCATGTGTTTCTGAACTTTGTATAATCACAGACCCAATGGTATGTGGTATAATACAATCTTATAATTTTTTTACTAATAACTAATACAATGTTATAATTTTTTTACTAATAACTATGAGAATTTTTTGTTATATACCGTACAGCCTGCACCCTGATTTTAAAGTTGTTACTCTATCCATGTTATTTTATCTTCTACAAGCAATAGAAATTTAATAAAAGTAAACTTGGTTACCATCATTGCACTCAAATCATGACACAATATCAGGAATATGTATAACTCTTGTTGTTTTATATAACATTTCTGCTATTTCACAGAACAATAAATTGTTTTTGCATTGCAAATTAAGGTTATAAATTAGTAAAAATTCAACAGTCAATTACAATTTATTACAAAGGATCTATGTCATCATTGTACGAAACCATGCCAAAAACCACTATTAAGGGAAAAATTTCCCATTTTTGAATCAACACTTTTTTTGGGTCTATCTTAACAATTACCTTAACTAATACCTAAAAAAAGGAGGTTCACTTAACAAATAAATTAGCCTGATGAAAGAAATCAACTAGTTTTTTATTTTATATTTTGAAACTTCTCATGTTAAATATGCTTTTATAAGCATGATTAATGGTGTAAATATAAGATACATAATTATGATGTTGATTACTAAACTAAGATGTTGCAAAAACATTCCACTTTTTACTGTTCTGTTATATCTTATTTGATGAAACTGCAGTATGTTTATTCCTAATAAATAAGAAGAGATCTTTCCTATCATGGTCCTGATTTGTGGAGCAATCTTAAGACTATAAAAAAAAATTGTTAAATTTCTACCTAACTGTTATCATTTGCTATTTTGTGATATCTCTGCTTTATTATTGTGTACGCTTCAGGAGAGAGGAAGTTAAAAAAACAAAATATAATTATTTTGTACCCTTTTGCTAATAAAAAGAATATATGGTATATTTAAATATGCGGTATATTTATCGTTTGATAAAACATTGTTCATTTATGGTACAATGAGGATGTTTGTATAATGTTTTATTCATCAGTGACATTCTACCGAGTTGGGATACCAGATCACAATCAGAAATATTTAAGATATTGAGATAATTAATTTGTATTAGCTGGTAATCATGAGCATTTTAATTTCCAGTTGTTGGACAATTAAGAAATCTGTATCTGTACTTATAATAAATAATGCAAGGTATGCACATTGTTTTTTGAGATACTGAATTAAAATGCATGTAATATATTTTTTGTATCCTTGTTTCTAATATTTAATGGTTTTGGGACATATGAAATTGATTTGTATAAATATGACTAGGCCTAGATGATTATCCTACACCTCACTTTCATGGCTTGCCTTACATGTCTCCATACAAAATTCAGCTTTTTGATTGGCTGAAAGTCCATGTAGACAAACAAGATAATGCTATTGTATATGATTATCGAGTAGTACTGTCAGTATATTGATATACTGTATATGTATATATATTGTAGAAGTGGTTGGCGCATCGGTTGTGGCTTGGACTCCCAACCTCGAGGTCGGGGGTTTGAAACTCTCACTGTGCAAATCGCTTGTGTCCTTGGGCAAGGCACTTTATCTACGGTTGCCCCTCTCCACCCAGGAGTACAAGTGGGTACATGATAGGTTCCAACACTGCGCTGATTACTAGCCGCAATATTATGGAGATATAATTTAATTTAATAATTTCGTTTAGTGTTTCAATGTGTTCCATATGTGTTTGATCCAATGACCGGGGTAATAATGTGAAGCGCTTAGAGGCTTTGTTAAGGCATTAAGCGCTATATAAGAACGACATATTATTATTATTATATATAGAGAGACTTAACCTATTCTCATGAAAAGAAAATAGTACATTTATAAACTATACATTGACATTATAGATTATTTTAACATGGCTAACAAAGCTAATAGGCTATACTAAAAACAACAGCCTACAGAATAATTCTCAGAAAGCAGATGCTTACCACAAAAATTGAAAGCAAAATATGAAGGGAAAAAAAACAAAAATCAAATTGAGACTCACAATTATTATTATTATTATTAATTACACAACTAATGATGTTCAACAGCGTCGAGCAGAAGAGGAAAGATGACAGGTGGCTGCTATTTTTTTGTTAGCATAGAAGCATAACATCTGGACCTGTTACTTTGCCTGTCTGCGTTTGTTGTGTTGCTAAAACCAGGCACTCACCGACGCGATTCTATGTGGAATGCAATGCTGCAACTTATCATATTTAATGACGACACATTCATTCGTACAACGCAGTGCGCAGGCCTTGAAAAAAATATTTTTGTACCTCCGACCATTAAAATTATCGTGATCAAATGCCTCCAGCACCAAATACTATCTTTACACTATTATAGAGAAACAGTACTACATTTAGTGGTTTGGAGCAAGAAAAAATATTAAAATTAAATTAACCTTTTCCAGTCGTATGGCATCGCGAATGACACCCTATTTGACTATACTTCAGAGCAAGGGGCATTGTACATACGCCCTGCATAGATTTCTTGATAATTATTTTATAGCCAGGCTGCCCTCTATAAGATTTTTTGAGTGATGTAGGAGTATTTCTGTAGAGGACCTCCTGTATTATCAGACCAAATAAAATGCCTGCATCCAGTAAAAACCCAACATTTAGTGTAGATGATGTAATTTATCAGCTTTGGTACAGCCTCAAGCAATGGTAATGGGGCAGACTGGAAAGGGTTAAGCATTAAATTTTTGCCTCTAGGTTAAAGATCAATACTTCTGGTCGTGCATTTTTTCAAGCCCTGCAGTGAATGCCCTGCTTTAAGGATGTCAAAGGATAATTTGAATATCTCTGAGTGGATAGTAGCCAATGTGGTTATTGTGTATATGAACTTTTGTCTGAAATAAAAGATTTAATTGAATTGAATTACACTATTACAGCATTGACTGTAGTGTTAAAAGATCGTTTGATGGCCATACAAGTGTCCCCTTATTATTGATGTTTCCTTTAATAGGGTGTCCTAAAGGAGGGGGCCACTGTAGTTGAATTATTAGTAAAATTGTTAGAAAATAGGTTTAAAAACTATTAGCAATAAAAAGTGGGTTGCTCCATTTTAAAATAATTGTCAACTGTTTAGACCTGAACTTTCTGACAGAAGAACAATGCATTTCCATCATCATTAAATAAATTATATCATCAGTTTTGAAGGCAATTTTCCTAGAACTGTGATGGTAAGATTTCATAGGACAGGCATTTACTGTAGTTGGTTCTGCCATATTTCATAAATAATACATCCCTTTCCATTGACGAGAATTTTAAACAATTTATTTTTTTAGATTTTCTTTTTCGATAGATTTACCACTGTTAGTTCTTTTGCTTTATGTTTTTGTGTAACTTTGAAATAGCATCAAGGAATATTAATGAATATTAAATTATTACATTTTTTTCAAAATTTTACTAACATCCTTTAAAAAATATAGTTGTCCCAATCAAGATATGAAAAAGTTGTGAATCCAAAAAAAAAAATCATTAATAAAAAAGTATGAAAATTTCAATTAAAAATTGCACTTCAAAGCCTAAATATGAAAATTCTAATAATACTAACAAGTAAAAACAAACAAAACAAATAAGTCACATTTTAACCATTAAACATCAATTATAAAAACAGCAATAATATATAGGATCATTATTATATAAAAATATATATACACAATTTTTAAAAATTAGACAATTGCAAAACTGACAAAAAAAAAATTAAAATGGTTGGTATGCCTTTAAATTTCCCTATATGGTTAGTTTTGCAGGTATGTGTTAGTGTAAAATTATTATTTTCCGGTAAATAGGAAATAAAAAAATCTTTAAAATAAAATGCATAAAATTATGGCATTACAATATATTTCTTCCAGATTTGTGCTTGTGGGGTAAAGTCTAGTAACAAACTTTTTGTTCTTACTCAAATTAGTAATAATAAAGGAATAACACAAATAAAATTTTAAAATCTATCATTAACAACTCATTTTCTACAGTATTACACAATAATTTTATATATTTTTGTTCTCTTCTTACTGTTTTTGTCTTCTCTTTTCTTTCTCGTTCAGAACAGTTCATTGAATATTCATGATTTGAAAAAGCCCTCTATAGTTATAATACTGATGTGGTTTGCGAAGGGTGCTGAATAATACACCACGTGAGGCAGCAAGAAATTGAAATTAAACTTCTTTAATCAGTTATAACCAGTATATCAGCAAGTGTGACAGTCTACGGCAGGTACGATACATCAGCAAGTGTGACAGTCTACGGCAGGTACGATACATTGTTTTCTCAAAATTTAGGCCTAGCCTGCATTGTTTATCGTCTATCTTTCGGTTTTAGAAGAATGCAACAACAATATTATCGTATGTGGCTGAACCGGTTCACTGCACGCTTGGTTGCTTATAAAAAGTCATGTTGTTACAGGCCTAAGGCTAATACAATGATTTCAAAACCGTATGTGTTTTTTTGATCATGTACTATTATATAGCCACAATAGGCATAAAATGTTTATCATTATATAAGTCTGCTTTATAACAGTTGCCCCTCACTTTCATTAATTTTTTACATGAACTACAGGTATGTTTCTACTCAGTAAATTTTATCAATTCACTAGCCAGGAATTCACTGATGGTAACTGGCTTACTCTTGATACCCCTAGTCATCATCCACTGTCCACTTCTTTCATTCAAATTTAATATAAATAAATAATAAATTAAGTCAATTAAAGTATTTAAGAAATACAGTTGAACCTCTCTATGCAACCACCTCCCTCCAAGAACATTGAAAACAAATCAGGATATTAACTGGCAGGAACAAATTTGGATGTTTAATATTGTGTATGCTTGTGTATGTCAGATACGTACATATAGGCCTAATCAAAAAGTAGCATACACAACTTCAGAACCTTAAACTAATCATAATATATAGTCATAGATAATACTGCTTAATTGCAAT